TATCTGTGTGTCCATGTCACCTCAGGATTAACCAACCCCTCCTGCCCTCAAGCCTAATTTTGGGTGAACCACATCTATGGCATCATCTTCTTGTCTCTGCTTTCCAGTGACTTCAATAGCAAAAGGAGTATTAATATGTAGCACATCTCGAGCTCTCATGAAACCAAATTCTGCCAAGTTCTCTTGTTCCTGGGTTTCTCATGCAAAAGCACCTTTCTCTCCACTACCAGGAATGTTCAGATGCCACCCTGACTTAGGGGCATTTAACCACTGCCTCCCTCGGCCATGTGCTGTCTCCTGTTCCCTCTGGGTAAAGTAACCCCTCTTCCTAGTGCATTCCTTCTGCTGCAGGCCAGCACCTCAGAGTACTTGACAGTCTTGAGCTTGTATGCTTTGTCCCTGCACATGCACCATGCCCCGACTCCTGGGACCCAAAGGCTCAGGTTGGCTTGTTTTGTACCAGACAGTATTCAGTAAGCAGTAAAACCAGCCTGCCTTTACAGATCAGGGTCTGGTTCTACAAGCTGACAGTTTCTCTTATGAAGAGCCCAAGGCCAGTGCAACGTTAGAGATGCATCTTGTCCCAGACAGGACAGTGAAATGAATCCTTTACCTGAGCACAGGAAGATTCACCAACTCCCATAAGCATAGCCAGAATCCCACCCACTCTGGCTCTGAAGGTGACAAAGCCTGGCATGATTTTAAAGAACAAAACTTCCAAAAATTTGCTTAAAAATACAATGATACAATTTTGCCTATAAATCAGATAATAATAAATACCTTAAATGTTTTCCAAAATAAACACCCATTTGTGAGCACTCTACCTACATCCCCAGCCCTTAAATATCTGTCTCTACCTTTGGCTTTAAAAGGTTAACTCCAGATTAGCTTTTGTTTCATTATGGATGTATATTTGACTTCTGGAGAAGTCTCCAGATTGAACTTTACACTTGGAAAGTGGAGTTTACATTAAAAGAACACTTTTCTGGTAACTAACTTTTGTCTAGGGACAGATTCCTTATTAAAGCTAAACGTTGGGCATCCTCCCTCAACAGCACAGGTCGGGCTGAGGCACACTATGTTGTGGTTCTTAAGTGTGCTTTGTCTTAAGGGAAATCAGGAAAGCCAGCATTTCTAGGGAGGGATCATTGAAGGTCTGCGGTTCTTTGTTATTCTAAAATAACTATTGAGTTTGAACTGAAAGAGAAAATTGCAGAAGCCTAAAGACCAGCTGGAAAAGTTCAAAGGGGGCTTTCTCATCAAAACCTTAATGGCTTTAGAGTCAGGGCTTGGGGACAAGGAATTGGGGAGTGTGGTTATCAGCTGTCAGGCACCTATTGTGGAGATTTATGACACAAGCCACTGGCCTTAATTTGTTTCCAGCTCCTCCAGCATCTGAGACTGGGGTTCTACTTTTAAAGGGCAGCCAATCACGTGCATAAAATTTGCCTGGTGTTTAAGCTGCTTAAATTTCATGTAAAATTTTACATCCAGTCATGTAGCCTTAGTTACAGCATTAACAAGTATGATCCCCATCTACTGAGAAAAATTTTACATCCAGTTATGTAGCCTTAGTTACAGCGTTAACAAGTATGATCCCCATCTACTGAGATTAGAGGCATATACATGGTATGTAATAAGGTTGTTTTCCACTGTGTAGGTAAAACACAGTTCAGTTCTATAGGACCGATCACACTCTTAATACACAGAGTTAAAGTCAGCAAAGTTTAGTCCCCCTGAGTCATAGCATCTTCCTATACAAGTGACTGCTGAGATGCTGCAAGTTCTGAACATCTTTAGATGGCTCAAGTGTTCAGAGGAAGTCAGGTGGCATTTAATTGTTCTGAATTTGGACTTCACAAATGTGACTTGGTGCTTTCTAGTTAAATCTCCACTGAAAAACCCCAGCTTTATAATAAATTCTAAATTGCTGTGGTGATTAACCTGGACCGTCTCATTGTCTTACAAAAGCAAAGGCTCCTGACATTGTTTCTGGTTTTCCTTTAATAAAATCTCAAAGTGCTGTCGACCTGTGGAAACACTTGTTAAGCCATATGTGATTTAGAACTGTGGAAAAACCAGTAATTTGGTACCTAGTCCGAAATGAAAGACAATTTTGATGTATTCTTTAAAGCAATATTTTTAAATTAAAGGATTCAGTACTGGACACTATAGGTTACACTTATGTAGAAATTCCCATGACCTAATAAATGTGGCACTTCCTTTAACTGAGGCAGTAGAATTCTACTCCAGTCAGTAAGCTTTTTTTTTTGTCTTTTTTCCTAACAATAATCAAAATTAAGTGCCTACTCTCTAGAACAGGGGTTAGAGTCCAAAGAGGCAGAAACAATCCTACAGAAAATAACTACATTTAGGAAATGAGGCTATGGAAAGTATTTTGTAGTAAAACTAATCCAATCAAGAGGCCAACTAAGGTTAACTGGAGTGTCTTGATTCATTCAGGGGGAAACAAATCCCTCCACCACCCAATATTCTTCAGTGTGTAGTATTTAGAAGAGATCACTATTTCTCTGAATACTTTAGTAAAGAGAATCAAACTGTTAAACCAGTGAAATATTGTTAAATTTGGAAAGCTAGACGTTGTCAAGAGGAGCAGACAAGTGAAGGGTGTTAGGAAGGAGACTGTGCAGCATGCAAACCCTGCCCCCAAGTTCATCCACAGAACAGTGAAGGGTTGGATATGACCATGTCTCTTCCTACTCAAGCAATGACTCAGTATGATATTTCCCTCTGTGTGCACGATGTGTACTACTTAAATCAGGTAGTTAGTGCTGCTATCTCTTTCTCCCTTCTTCATAGCCGAACTTTCAAACTCCTTCCTAGCTGTTCATAAACTATGTAATCAGTTAGATTAGGTTTTCTCGGCTGTAACAAGTGCCAGAGATAGCCATTATGATAAGAACACAGGTCTAATTTAGTTTATGTGAACAGTTGGCTCTCATCCTTTGGGTCTGTGGCATGGCAACAGATCATAGCTGTCTTCCCAACATCCATGTGGTGGCTCACAACCACCTGCAATTCCAGTTCCAGGGATCTGTTACCCTCTCATGGACATCACAGGCACTAGGCAGGCATGTCACACACAGGCACGCGCGCGCATATACACGCGCGCACACACACACACACACACACACACACACACAAATGCAAGCAAAAATGCCAATACACATAAAGTATTAAAATAAATACTAAAAAAAGATTAATTTAAAAAGTGATTGTGGAAGGTGTGCTCCACTGTATCCATGAGACTGAACTGAAAGTATTGCAGGTTGAAAGTCTGCTGCTTCACGCTATATAGCAAGACTCTGTCTCAAAATCCAAACTCACAAACAATAGACAAACCAACTAAAAGCTGAATTCTCTAGCACCAACTTTAAGCATAAAATAATGCTGTGTATATACTGCATTTTATGTAGCTGCATCCATAGCATATGTTGTTGCTTCTGCATGACAATCTTAAGTGCTTCAATAAGAATTTCATATCCATTGAGTTCTGGGGACTGAACCGAGGACATTGCATGCCCCAGGCAAAAGCGTTACCAAGGAGTTGCAGCTCTGGCCCTGTATCTACTATGTAGTGACTGAAAGGTTTTGTAGTGGTTTGATGTGGTACACTAGCGTAAGCCTTGGGTTTTTCATATCTGGGGCAATGATGGGAACTATTACAATGAACACTTCCTTAGAATTCTATTTCAGCTTCTTTGGGAGCAAAACTCCCATGGAAGACTGGCAGGGCCAAGTGATAAAACAGCCTTTTGCCTCTTGCGTTCATTGCGGAAACCTTCCTGAGAGGTTAGACGTCAAACAGGAGAACCAGTTTCCCTGCATTGTCTCAAGTGCATGGGGCATTGCCTTTAGTTTTCAGGAGTGAGATTTGGTAAATCAAAGTTACTCTTGTTTTTACTTATTAAACTTGTAGAGAAAACAGACTATGTTTCTCCCCAGATTCTTTCACCTTGTGAAGATTTTCAGTCAATGGACCTCTTGACATTTCTCCATCTCGTTTTTTTTTTTTTTTTTTTCCTCTACCATTGCTCTCTTTGTGTAGACTCAAAGGAGAGGAAACCAAAATGAAAACTGTGCCTTTAGCTGTGTTTGTTATTTAGGCTTTGTCCCCCTTACTCTTTTCCAGAAAGACTTAAAAGGTATTAGTGATGCCTTTGTTTATAAACCTCATAGATCAAAAGCAGTTGAGAGATAGGTGTGGAGTGATCAGCTGATAACCAGTTCTTTCGTTTACTCAATAGAGTAGCTCTCACATTAGAGAGATCACACACAAGGTTCATTTCTCCCTAGAGGCTCCCAGCTCCATTTAGGTAGGAAGGTGGGAGGAGAGGGGAAGCCAATGAAAAACGCTATCTGTTTGTTCTCAGGAATGGAGTGGAGTCTAGTGGAAAGGGGGGTGGAGAAGGAATATTTGTTTTTCTTTGAGTGGTTATAATTAAAGCCTTCCACCCAATTGCTCTGTGAACCAGAAAAAGGTATTTGTGAAGGTTTGTGTGTATGTGAGAACATTGCAGCCCTCTATAGAGAGAAGCTTGCTCTCCAGCGACACCTTGTGGTGAATAATTTCTTAAAAACTATTTTTTCTTTGTTTTTCTTTATTGATATTTTCTTTATTATTATTATTATTTACATATCGGATCGATATGTAAAAAACAATATTTTTATTATTGGACAGCATATGCAAGGTATTTTGATTCTGTTCACCCCCCTACTACCTCCTTCTCAGCTCCACCCCCTCCCTGTTGTATGACTTTCTTGGCTTCTTTCTGCTTCGCAACCTCCCATCCTGAAAGAAGGAGAAATTTTTCAAAGACCGCATCGTCTGTGTAAGTCAAACCGTCACTGAGAGACTGTGTTCCAGGGTTGCATATTAACTCAAGCAGTATTCTTTTTAGAGTTTCATAGTTTGTGGATTGTTAAGGCCATTCATTCAAGAAAGCAGTAAAGTAAGGTTTGACATTCTTATTTTCCAGGTGGGAACAAGTTAACCAACCAGCATTTTCGACTGAATTGGGCATGGATCTCCTTCGAAAAGGAGTATTACTTGATCAACGAAGATTCCAAATTTCTTGATATTGTTCTTAAACGCAGAGGATACCTGGGAGAAACTTCATTTATAAGTAAGTTTAATTTGTACTTCCATGTGTTTACATTTTTTTCTCTAGTGATTAAACTACAGCACTAATTTAGAACACTGATCTAGGTTAAAATCTTAGTGAGTTGTTGATATTTGATTTTTAACTACTTAGAGATTATATCAAGTGCTTTGTGTCAAGGTGCATGAGTGTGACCTTTCTGTGGTGTAAAATACATTCACAAAATTGGAAGTAATCGTAGATGAATTAAAAAGTAAAGTCAAATGTCACCAGGTTAGAATAAACTAATAAGAATCTAATTTATCCCCAAGGTATAAATCAGATGCTTTAATAAATAAGCAAAATGTATTCAGGGAGTTGCAGGGCACCAATGTGTTAACTCACCATGTGTTGAGTTTGAAGGCTCTGTAGCCTTCACCATGAACTGACTAGTACATATTAAAATGTTACATGTTAAAACCTAGTCATTTTCTTCTGCCTTATTTAATAAAACCAAGAGTCAACAGCATATGAATAAAACCTTTCTTCAGCTCTGATTCGAGGCCACATTTCATTTCATGTACTCATAAAACAGGGAAGTGTATGCCACAGAGGTAGACAGGGTTGATGCCCAATACTGAGTACCTTGATGAAAAGTGACAGTGTACCCCGAGCAATGATACCATTTTGAGAACCACACATTTAATAGAGTGGTTAGCTGCCGAAGAACTTTGGAAAAGGGAATTATTAATCACAATAGGAAGCTAGGAAAGGATTGGCAAAAATAAAAGGGTTGTCTGTGAAATTAATACTTTGAAATTGCACTAGCCTGTCACCCCTTACACATTAGGTCCCTATTGATAGGGAAGTCCCTCCAGTAAACACGCTGTTCTTCCCTGACATGTTTGGACTCTGGATATTAAAAATAGGGTTTTTATTTGTCTTTTTTTTCTATTGAAAAGAGGCCTGTCCACCTTCAGCCTGGGCAGCACCTCCTGGTCCTTCCTTTGCTGCTCTTCCACAAGGCTGCTCTGCACATTCTATTTGACTTTCTCGAGTCCAGTACATGCTCATACCGCTCTCCTTCATAGGGACTCGGTCTCTCTGCAAGTGCTCCCCTCTTTGCACATCTCTGTGTTACTGTCAGCGAGAGGTCAGTTTCGACTGTGCCTTGGGCCTTAAAACACAGGGAATGAGCTGCACTGGCAATAAGGGACAGTAGAGAACCTCAGCACTTATCAACGATTCTGCTGTCTATGTGCAGTCTGTCCCCTTTATTGGAAAGTTCATGTGATTCGAGTTCACAGTTATCTCCATAGGGAGAACGCTGAGAAAGTTACCCATTGAAAGTATTTTAAAGACTTCCAAGTCTGAATTTTTTTTTTCTCTATTCTTTTTATTTTAATCTTTTTCAGTGTAATGCTAATGCATCTTCCTAAGTTATTTGTTCGGACCAACTGTAGTTTCCTATGACTGTGACTACACCAGCTCTCCTTGGTTCACCTCACACTTTGTAAACTGAGGTGGAAGAATATTAGAAAGACCCTGTGTGTCCACATCTCCCCATGTGTCCACGTTTCCCCGTGTGTCCATGTCTGCCATCACTGAATATGGTCCTGAAGTTATGCCAGGGCCTGGATTAGAAGTTAAGTAAAACACAAAGCAGACTTATAGAAATCTACAATGCAGGTGCTGGTCCCATAAAATTTCCATTTCCATGTTTGGACTTAAGAATGCATTGTAGCTGCAGAGAGAATATCACTTGAGTACAGTTAGTAAATGAATAGTTATGTAAGGTGTTTAATACATTATCCCAGAGATGACTCTTCATCTTGTAACCCAAGTTAATTCAGCGTTTGCACTCCTGAGACAGAACTCCTGGTCAAAGTAACTTAAGGGAAGGAAGGAAGGAAGGGAGGGAGGGAGGGAGGGAGGGAGGGAGGGAGGGAGGGGAGGGTTACCCAAAGGTAGCAGTGATTGGAGAGAGGCAGGAGTGACTCCAGCTGTGTCAGCCTGAGAGAGGGCTGTTCAGATCTTGGTTGATCAGAAAACAGAAAGAGCTAGACCAGCCATGGGGGGCAGAAATAACTTTCAAATGCCTGACCCTAGTGACCTGCTTCTGCCAGCCAAGCCATATAACCTTTTAAATAATGCCAGCAGATGCTGCCTGCACATTCAAAGCATCAGATAAGAGGGATGTTTCATGTTTAGACCATAATGAACTTCTTAAAATTAATTCTTACAGTTGACATATAAAGTACTGGGTTTTGCTATGGCATTTTCATGCATGCACGTCATGCTTTGTTCTTGCTCGTCTTCTGCTACTGCCCTCTTCCGACCCTCCCTTCTGCTGTCATGTGACGAGAATTCTGTTAAACTCACTTCCTCAGCTCCCCTAAAGATCTCCTTCTTTCTCTTAGTCTCCTTAATGCTTTCACAGGTTACACACCACACACACACACACACACACACACACACCTATGTAGCTGGAGTTTTCTTGTCCTGCCAGGTCCTGCTACCCTTCAGTCCCAAATAAGCACACAGAGACATAGTAATTTCTAAACTGTTGGTTGATGGCTAAGACTTCTTATTGGCTAGCTCTCTCTTAATTATTAGCCCATAACTATTAATCTCAGCTTACCAGAGGATGCCCGGACCTGTTACTCCTTTGGCGGCTATATGGTGTCTCCCCATGGTTTACTACTTCTCCTCCCTAGCATTTTCCTCATCTCCTAGCCCTGCCCATCTTTCTGTCTCTACTGGTCAAACCGTATTTTATTCATCAACCAATAAGAGAAACACATATACAGAAAAGACATCCCCCATCATATTTAGATTTCACATTAAAAGAAAACCCACGTGCTTGCCTCTCTGCTGCTTGCTTATTTCATTCACCATAATGACTTTCAGTCCTGCCCATTACATTATCGTGTAACTGTCTTGATTCCCTTTTTCTTTACGGCTGAATGAAATCCCATTGTGTCTGTGAACCACAATTTCTTTATATGCTATCCTTTTCATGATTATCTAAGCTGCCTCCATCTCTTAGCAGCCAATATCTCTGTGGTGCATAACAAGCTCTTATAATCAACTAAATGTGCATTTGTATTTGATGATAGTCTTTGCATCTCAAGGATCTCACTGCTACTAGTTATTAAACATCTATCAATGGCAAGAAATATGCTGAGTGTTTTATCAATATCTCTTTCTCCTCACAACCCTTCACTAGCTCCCCTAAGGCCTTGAGTCCTGGCTGTGGTGCTGCATTAGGCAATGGGTCTATAAAATGAAAACAGTAATTCATGCTGAGTCTTTATACATGCCAGGCCTAGACCCCCAGTACCCTCCAGGTCTTAATCCCACAAGAAAAATACCAATTCATCTTCTGCTTCACAGGGGAGCAAAGAAAGAAAATGTGATATTCCCAAACATTCAAGGTCCTAGGGCCCACACTGATAACCATTTCACCAGAGTGTCTCATAAACTGATATTAGTTAGCATAATGAGAGGGATGAAAGTCCATCTTCTCAATCCAAGAGACCTTGCTTCAGCCCTGCACTATTTTCCTTGTAGCATCTGTGCTATGATCTGTTCCATGAATCCGGCAAAGGCCTAGAGATTGGAAATAAGAGACAAGACTGTGGGTCCTTCGTTCAATGGCGGAACTCCTAATGTGATTACCCTTTATTGAGGGGATAGGGTAGGCTTAAATACTGACTTACAGCACAGTGGAAAAATAACAGGATTGTCAGGCGTGTGTTAGCCTCCCCACCAGGTGTGTGTTAGCAAAACAGGAAGAGTACCAATGACAACTCCAGGGGGCAGGAAGAGTCCCAATAACAGCTCTGTGGCAAGGAGTTCCAGCCAACAGCTTCAGGCTTGCTCAAGGTGCCTCGGGATCCATGCAGGGCCCTACATTTCCCTGTGAGAGAAGACGCAAAAGTAGCTTCATTTAACAACGAAGTAAACACTTGTGGGTGTTTTCAGTAGCCACAATGGGGATTTGGTACTGCAACCTGTATTTCATCAGGTGAAAGCTTTTGCTGTCCTGTGAAAAACGTGGCTGAAACTGGAGGAAATGCCCTGTATTATACGAATTCCTTTTGGGCTTTAAGTGTCCTTTGAATCTTCTGGAAAGAGTTCATTACTGAATCCAGCCGAGCAGGCAGAGGCTGGCAGACCGACTAGCAGGGTTCTGGTGGTCATGCTGTGGTGATTGTAGTGGGTCCAAGGGACACTGACTGTCCCTCTGTGTGCACTGGGAACAAGGCATTAATGAGAGATCTGCGGAACTCACCAGATGCAGAACTGTGACTACCATTTGGGCCCTTTGACATTAAATAAGCCATGCTGTATCTGCTATTGAAGCAGATGCATATGTGAAATATTTACCTGTCTGGTATTATTCCAAGGACTCTAAAACAAATGCTTTTAATAAAAATCTCTTTCCATCTTCATTTTAAGACTAACAGCCTGTGATATATATATATGTATATATGTACATATATATATATATATATATATGTATATTCAAAGTAATCTGTTTGTTGGTTGGTGTTTTTGAATACAAGGTTTCTCTGTTTACCCTTGGCTGCCCTAGAACTCACTGTGTAGACCAAGCTGGCCTCAAACTCACAGAGATCCGCCTGCTTCTGTCTCCTAAGTGCTGGGACTAAAGGCGTGCACCCCCACCACAGGGACAAAGAATTCTTATATAAGCACTCTAAGGCAATTTGTTTTGTTTTAGTCTCTGGTAGAGATTCAACAACGAGGGTAGAGCCAGATGCCCAGCAATGAAACAAAGAAAAGAGGGAATGGTCCTTTTTATTCTAAAGCAAATGAATTCTGTTGTCTCTGCAGGCATCAGCACGAGGGATGGGACTGCACAAAGAGACAGCGACTTCAAGGGCAAGGCCCAGCGACAAGTGCAGTTCAACCCTGGCCAGACCAGGGCCTTGTGGAGAGTGCGGATCTTGGGCGATGAGGTGCATGAGCACTCAGAGACCTTCCAGGTGGTTCTCTCTGAGCCTGTGCTGGCAGCCCTGGAGTTCCCCACAGTGACCACTGTGGAGATCATTGACCCAGGCGACGGTAAGCCTGACCATCATTTTCCTTATGTCATTGTTGATGAGCTTTTAGGACAAAGCGCCTTTCTTATAAAGGAGTTTAAAGCCACTATTTGAACTCTCTACCCAGAGAAATTTCTATATTCTTTAGAGTTCTCAGGTATATTGATGGGAAGAGGGAAATGTAACAGTAATGATGAGAAGCCATATCTCAGGTAAAGTAACTGCAGTATTGTTAATGCGGGGTCTTAGTACCAATGTGCTTGTTTCTTCCGTTTGTGTGTCATCGGTTCATCAGCTTCGAAGTCTTCTGGTATCTTAGAATACCTTTTAAGCAAATGGTTTGAGGGTCAGACTGTTCCAGGCTTAATTTGTCCCCTGTATTGCATCTTATCATTTCTGCACACACCCCGATGCTCCCGACCTCCCCACTTTCTGTGGTGAGCTGTCCTGAGCTTCCGCTCTGAATTTCTCTTCCATCACTTTCTTCATCAGTGTATGCGCGTAGCTGACATTGTGAAAATGAACATTAACGTTCTTGTAAATTGACCTTTCCCTGCCCCTTGCATACAATCCTGGTTTGTCGTGCTGTGTATTTGAGTTGAGGGTAGGAGGTGAATGGCTTTTTTTGAGGTCTGGCATTTACACAAACCTCATCGAGACTTCTAAGTTGAAATGCTGTCAGAAGCCAGACATGACTTTCTTTTCTTTTAAACTGCCAGTCTGCTTTATTTTGTCAGTCCGAAAATTCTTAAATGCTCTACAAAGATACAATCTGCTGAGTTCATAAAATGGGGACTCGTGCAAATCCCTGTGTTAAAAGACTCAGCATAATTAAAGAGGCCGGATCAGAACCAGGGGCTCTGGCGCCCTGAGCTTATCTAATTCTCTGCCTTCAGTCAAATATGAAGTTCCCTTACATTTATAATCTTTATTAGAGAACATTTAACATTAATTGCTTTATCTGTAAATAAACAAACTTTCATCTAGTCTGCAGCTTTGGGGATATCCTTTGTAAACCCCCATGACAACTTTAATACGTGTTAGCTGCTCCATTAGCTTAAGCTGGAAGCTAGCTTTTGAGATTTTATTTGCTATTTAGTAAAAATGCTAACGTCTACCTTAAGGGATAAGACTTAAACTTACTTGTGCATTCCTAACCATAGGGTAAGATATTTATCTCTACCAGTGACATGTCTGAGCAATGGGATTTTAAAACAAAGGCAACACACACACTTGAAAACATATACATACGTACGTACTTACGCACATACTACATATATTTGTACATACGTACACCTGGAACCTTACGAGCAGTAACACAATCAATCTCATATGAAGCCACCATAGCAATTATCCTGCTTTCAGTCCTCCTTATAAAAGGCTCATTTTCACTTCAATCCCAATATGGCTGTTATTAACATCATGTCCATTAGCCATAATACAATTTATCTCAACCCTTGCCGAAACTAATCGACCCCCATTCTTTGATTTAACAAAAGGACAATCAGAACTAGTTTCAGGCTTCAACATTGAATATGCCACAGAACTGTTCACACTATTTTTCATAGCTGAATATACTAATATTATTCTAATAAATGCTCTATCAATTATTGTATTCTTGGGGCCACTGTACTATCCATATAACCCAGGATTTTACACTATCAATTTCATAATCAAAACCCTCGATTCCGCTACAGTCAACTAATACATCTTCTATGAAAAAACTTCCTAACACTAGCCCTATGTACTTGACATATTTCAATTCCAATGTTTATAGCAAGCATCCCACCTTATACCTGGACCTCACATATTCATAATTATGTTATATATTCTCTATAGTTGTGATTTAAAGATTTTAAACTATTGTGTATTTTACTCCATACATTAGCATCTATATTCACCAGCAAACAGGCATCCCTTATTGCTTACTTGTTTAATATGGAGCCATACTCAATGCTAGCATGGATGAGGTCTATTCCTCCCCTGCCTGCCCACATCAGTGACCTCTGCAACAGTGTAATCGGTGCTGATCCTTCACCGCCACCATGGCAAGTTTAACCTCAAAGTTACTGCTGCTGTTAAGAAGTCTGCCCTCTCTTTATTCTTGTTTTCCTCTTTGGACTACAGGCTTCAAGTTACATGGAAATGTAATTTATTGATACGTTCAATAGACATGTGAATCTATGAGTCTGGGAGTTGCCACTAACCATGGTCTACATTAACTTGGTTCACTTTAGAAGAAAAAAACAAAACAAAGTGTGAAAGAAATGTCAAAGTTCAAACATCAGTGTCAGTATTCAGACATTTCTGCACTGAGTACACTTGTTGGTTGGTCTAAAGGCACTACAGTGGCCTGAAGATGTACCGGAATGCCTTCTGAGTTGTTTTCAAACATGCCAGCTTCCTTCAAGGCGAGGAACACTCATTGCTTTCATTCACGCCCCAAGTTGTCTTTCATGTATTATGACAGACTTTTAGAAGATAATCAGTTCTGTCATGTTTTTAGTACTTTTTCATCAGTACAGTTCAGTGGAGAGAAAGGACAGGATGAATATTGTCTCTCAACTGTGGTTCCAACTTTATTTCTGAGAATTGAAGTTGCTTTTTTTGTTTTTTGTTTTCCAAGTTGTAGCATAGTCAAAACTCACGGTCACCAAGAAGAGTACTCATAATGGTGTAGTCATATTGATGGATAAAGGATGCATTCACTTCATCTAGGCTTATATTTCAAAATAAAGAGTATTCACATTTACCTGGAAGTGGGAAAACCGCTCGTATTTATTGTCAGAAAGATAATCCAGTAACACCATAAGAGTGGAAAAGAAGAGAGGTATGAGGGGTCAAAGGGACCCTAGACTTCCTCACTTTTCCTCTACAAACCTGAAAGTAGCAAGAAGTAAAGAGTGTTCATTTTTCAGTCATTTATAATCCTCCTGCATGGAAGTGGCCATGGCTAGTGTTTGAGAGTATGACCCCACAGTTGCCTTTTCTCCTACTGGTTCCCATAGAATTTACTAATCTCATAATTTAGCCCTTACTTCTTCTTTTGCATGGACCGTGGTAGTTTCAGCCTGTTGTGTGAATGGGGCTTTCATGTAGGTACTTTTATGATATATGCCTTTGTATGCTCTCTGTCTATTCTATTGTATGCTAGTCATGGTATCTCCTCTCAGAGTTTTACAGTATTCAATTATATACATGGATTAAAAAGAAAATGTATAGGAAGTTCTCAACTCTTTAAAGGAATCATCTAAGTACTTGCTTCTAGCTTCCTTTTAACCTTCCTCCCCGCTCCCCTGCCTTTGCTCCACCTTAACCATGTTTTATACCTCTTGACATTAGTCAGCTTCTCCTCTTCCTCATAGCTAGCAGTGCCTCCCTCACCCCGCATGGCCTCTTTTGGGGAGAACACTGGGCAACCATGGCAGTTATGAACAAGGGCTCTGAGATGACTTGTCTGAGTTCAAGTACAGTGTCAGTGCCTCCCGACTGCCTTCAGTAGGTTATCTGGTTGTGTGTGTGTGTGTGTGTGTGTGTGTGTGTGTGTGTGTGTGTGTGTTATCCTCAGAACTAAAATGCAGGTCACAACAATCCTTACCTCAAAGATTATTGCAAAAATAAAGCCAGCTGATACAGGTGGAGTGTTTAGAATCCACCTTGGCAAATAGTAAGACTCTGTTGGTGTTAGCTAACTGCATTTAAAGACTGATGCATGAATGGTGTTTTTCAACATTTTCACCTATAAAAAGTTGTGCTTACTTAAGGCAGTCTGTGTATACATTTCTGCTGTGTGTGTAAAGCAACGTTAGAAAATCATGTTACCCTAAATGGCAATTGGAGAAATCTTTATTCAAGTGTCTTTCTGATATCCTTTCACGGTTTCTCCCACAGATTACATAATTATGTGAAAAATTAGGTCAACAGAAGATCTGAACTTGATACGGGCATATTTACCCTCTGTCAGATCAACTGTAGGAGTGAATTCCAGGTCTGAGGCCATTTTCCGGGACACACAGCTTTCTTCTCTATTCATATTTCAAGCCCATAGGCAGAGGAGGAGAAGTCCTGACTTGTGTAATCCAATGTGCTTGGGTTACAAGGTGCAGAAGGAACCAAACTGTAAGTCCCCCAGGTTTAAATCCTGCTGGGGCTGCATAATTAAAACCCTATGCATGCAGCTTCCCTCAGAACATACTTGAAAACAAAACTGGCCAGGATAAATTTGCAGTGTAGAATGAGTATTGTTGATTAACCCTGGTTTAATCAGCTCTGGCTTTTTGTAACAGAATATCATAGATTGGGTGACTTTAATATAACAGATAATAATATCCATTTGTTCCTCACAGTTGTGGGGGGATTAATCTGAGCTCAAGGTGCAGGGCAGGAGTAGAAGGCTTGCTTAGTGTCTTTGAACTAAGATAAACCCCTGACTCTGTCTCCAGCAATGCTAAGACAAAACCAACAGATCAAGCTTGGGCTAGTATACTCAGTCCCTGATGAGGGTCCTCCAGGCTTACAGACAGTCACCTCCCAGGTGTGTCCTCAGTATATCACTCAGCATTCTTTGCCTGCAAGGTGGGGGTGGGGGGAGCAGGGAGAGGAGAGAAGAAACAGAGAGAGGAAAGGAGTGTTCTGTGTTGCTTTTATAAGAACAGCAATCCTTTATGGGGTCTCCACACTCAATGACCTTGCTTAAAGCTACACACTTGTCAAGGCCCATCTCCTCCACCATCACATTCAACATATGAATTACGAGGTACACAAACATTAGCACAGAGCAAGCTTTGAGTAATGTTTCATAGAAAGGTTACAGAGAATGTGGCCTGAAGACCTAAAAGTCAGCAACCCGCAAGTGAATTCCCATGAGTTCATGGGGTGGGGAGGCCCCTGAGGTTCACTGGACAGTTTAATGTTGCTTAGCATTTTATGTGGTTTTGCACTAAAATCAGAATAATTTTTATAATAAAATTTTGTATTTGATAAAAATCTTAATAATTACATCTGTAATCCTTATGTGTTTTTATTTTATTGGTGTTTTGCCTGCATGTGTCTGTGTGAGGGTGTTGTATCCTGGAATTACAGTTGTGAGCTGCCATGTGGGTGCTGGGAATTGAACTTGGGTCCTCTGGAAGAGCAATCAGTGCTCTTAATTCCTGAGCCAATTCTCCAGCCCCTATAGCTGTAATTCTTAGCATTGTAAAAACTTGCCTTAAAAATAAACCAACAAGGACATTTCTCAACTTGCTACTTGGGCCCCCTCTAGGGCAGGGCTGCTTAGGGCAGCAATGCCTCTTCCCAGTGAGCAGCTGCTTCAAGCTGCTACCCTGTACTCCGTGCAAAGTGCTGGTGATGATAACCAAATTCTAGTGTCTTCCCATTGAGTGGGATCTCAGTTCTCCACTGACTAGATTCCTTATCAGTATCTGAAACAGTTGCTCGCATTGCATCACGACCCTTCTCAGCCTCTGGTTTCCAGTTTTGTTTTTTTTTTTTTTTTAATCTCTGATCCATTGTGTTCATCTTTAGTCCTCCCAGATGTGATGGTACTCTGACTGGCGCTGCATATATCATACATCTATATGTTTCCAGTCCTGCCTTTCCACTGAAACCCAAGATAATATGCCCAAAAGGCCACTTAGACTTTTCCACTTGGTTACTGAAAGGATATCTCAATTTCAGTATTCCCAAATGTAACTTCAGGTTTCCCAAATCTGACCTCCATATTCTGTCCCCCACTTTTACAAACAGCAACTTCATCTGTAAAAGAATGACCGAAAGGTTACACTTGGAGTCATCCTGGGTTCCTCAGGTTCTTTCGTATATCTGAGAAAACTTCATCAGAAAACTCTTGTGAGTCTTTATTTCTGATACATCTGTCTCGCATCCACACCCACAAGTATCAACTCTTGATACCTCCTGGTCCTTGTGACCTGTGATCTCCTTCCTGGATGGTTGCAAAACCTTAAAACCAAGGGCTTCATGTCAGCGCCTTCTACTTCATGTCTATCATGCAACAGCTGAAACTGAAGTTCATCAGAGTACAGCATCACAGAATCCCCACCAATGTCCAATCCTTTCTAATGAATTCGCCTGAAGATACTGGATGTAAAAAAGATTAGACTAGACTGACTACATGTTAAAAGTTGGGAACCACTTTCTATAGCATTAAGGAAGTGAAATAACCCTGTAGCAGAAACAGATATGGTCAGCACTTGAGCTGATAGTTTCCCCTAACTGCTGTCCCTAATTCTAATTCTGGGCCAATCTGAAAAACCTAGATGTGCACTGGGGTGTCCTCCTTCCTGCTTACGTGCTACAGCTTCCCATGCCACGCAGCCTCCGTGATGGCATACCTGATTATTTCTTTCCCACAATTACATGTTCCCACTCTTTTACCTGCTTTCAAGTCTATCTAAACACAAATGAAGAGCTAGGGCTGTAGTCTGTTGTAGACTGCTTGCCAACTGTACTGGCTAGTATTTTGTCAGTTTAACTTGAGCCAGACTCATTTGGGAAGAGGGAGCCTCATCTGAGAAAATGTCCTCATCAGATTAGCATGTGGTACATTTTTACTATCTTTATGATGTGGGAGTGCCTAGTCCATTATGGGTAGTGCCAGCCCTAGTCAAGGTGGTCCTGGGTTTGTACAACAAAGCAGATGGAGCAAGCCAAGGGAGTAAGCAGCACCCCTCCATGGCCTCTGCTGCACTTCCTGCCTTCAGGTTCCCACCTTGAGTTCCTGCCCTGACTTCCCCTAGAGATAGAGTATGTATGACCTGAGGGTTGTGAGCTGAAATATACCCTTTCCTCCTCAAGTTGCTTTTGATTATTATCACCACAATAGAAGTCCTAATGAAGACACCAGGTATTCACAGAACACTGTAGAAAAAGAAAACAAGGGTAAAGGTGGCTGACTTCATTGCTCTAATGAGCTCTAACAGTTGTTCATTCTCATCCAGTTCATTGGGTGGCTTTGTTTATTTCCACATCCTAATTAGAGTGAACATTGAAGTCTTTCCAGCATTGCTGAAGGGGTCTGTGTCAGTAAAAAGGAGACTCTATGAGGGCACAGGTGTCACTTACTTCTGCATTGTGGTGCCCAGTATAGTGCCTGGCAAGTTGAAATCAGTGTTTAATAAATGATTAATTAGTTATAAGATGGAGGCATTCTGAAAGTGACTGTGAGAGTCTTGGAAGGAAACAGATGATGCTGGAAAACTTAGTTATTTCAGAAGCACTTCATCTCATGGGTGTTTTCCAAAGGTTGGGGCGAATCTAAAACCCAGGCTTGTAAAGTGTCCCTGGGGCAGTGAGAGCCAGGGCCAGGGCCAGGGCCAGCACCACCTAAGGTCTGGAGAAGGTTGCACATGCCTCTGGATATCTGAGAGTTGCTGGGAAAATGAACTTCAGAACTCAGGGAGAGTCTCTTAAATTTTCAAGTTTTCATTTATGTGTATCTGTATCTTTATATATGTGCATGTATATGTGTGTTGTACTCAAGGAGACAAGGTGTCAGATCCCCTGGTCTCACTGCAATCTGCAAGAGTAGCATGCTCTTAACCATGGAACCATTTCTGGTTTTTGTTCTTCAATCCCCTTCCTGCAGGCTCTTCCCTTTGGCTGACCCACCAGAATCCTAGCATCAGGAAAACCTCCTCAAAGGCTTCGCCCTTCAAGCCCTCGGCCACAGGGCAGGGTGGACTGAGCATCTTAACTGTGTAGGCTATTCTAGAGTCTTTCATAGTCCCCAGAAGAATTGTGCTTACTGTTTCCAAGATAATCAGGAAGTGTGTTCTCTGTGGATGTTAAGGCTTTCAGGGAAACAGGCTTCCAGAGGAATATCACAGTCTGTTTTGGGTTTATAATGTCAAACTATTGAACTAAATGATCATGAAAGTTTTACACAATAGATCTATTTTAAACAATTTAATTATGCTACTTGTAGTACTTAATGTACCTTTTATCTATGTTAAAAATGAGTCATTGAGACTTATAATGTTATATAAACATAGTTCTTATGTCACAAGTAATTGCTATCCTGCTCAGGAAGGAAAAAAAACACTACAGAGGTGTTCTTATTGCTTATGATAAAGGCACTCAGGAATTCTAAAGGAACTGTTGTTTGAAAACAGTTGAACAAATAAATTGTTACATTTTAAATCATGAACCATCCAAAGGGAAGCCCTTTGAATAAGGCTAATAATAGAATAAATGTCTGAGGATCCGAGTTCCAATCCTGACTAATGAGCTTGCTTGGGGGCCAAGTTCAACCGTTTGAACTCAGGGTCCAGCAAAGCAGGGCATCTCCACTTGTTGGGTTATACCAGGGAAAGATGTCATGCTGTAACAAGGAGAAAGAGGTGGATTAAAAAGAACTGTGCAGCCAGCCGTATTTATCGAGAAGAAAGAGGTGACTGGAGACAGAAGCTATGCAGGGTTTTGTGTAGGTGTTCTTTCCCCTCCTCCACCCTTCCTCTGGCGCTGTTATTCTAAAAGAGAAAAGAAATAAACTACCAGAGACAGTTTAAGTTTCTGAGATAGGCAACTCAGACCAAAAGAAAGGAAAAAAAGTTATAGTGACTGTAATTGTGTTTTCTCTTTAGAATCTACCGTGTTCATTCCCCAGTCGGAATACTCTGTTGAAGAAGATGTGGGGCGAGCTGTTCATTCCCATCAGGAGAAGTGGAGATGTCAGCCAGGAGCTGATGGTGATCTGCTACACACAGCAAGGTAACTCCATTGCTGAGCAAAGTGGACTAGCCCGCGTGTGCCCATCAGCCTCTGGCTGGTGGAGCCCTGAAGAACTGGATGTTAAGACATTAAGAACTGTGCTTTAGTATTGTATTCTAGGGTCTTCTTTGTGTCAGTCTAACAAGACGCTGCTGCTGCTTCCCTCAGGTCCAGTTTAAGATGGTAGGGAACTAGGCTTGGGGATTTAGCTCAGTGGCAGAGCACTTGCCTAGCAAGCACAAGGCCCTGGGTTCAGTCCTCAGCTCTGGAGGGGGTGGGGAATGGCAGGGAACCAAAGGCCCACTCAAAACTTCCAAGTCAAAGAGAGTTGTTTAGAGGTAGGATCTGGTCAGTGCTGCAGCCTTGCAATCCTAGCATTCTCACACAGCCTGGGCTGTCTCAGCCTATCTTAGCCTTCAAAAAAGCTCATTGGCTTCCCTACAATGCCAAAGGCTATGAATTTTATCCTTGGTACAATACGAAAAGAGAAAGAAATAGACAAAATGATGCATATCTGAGGAGACACTAATTTAAAGCTGGTTTGACTGGTAACAGTAGAATCTTAGTAATCTGCCTTTGCTAAGTATCAGTCCAAGATATAAAAAACAGAAAAACAAGTATGGTTGAATCAAAAACCAAAACTGACACAGGTATGCCTCTTATATGTGATTATAGAGCTTTATTAAACTCAAGGCCATTTGAGCAATGAGTTATAGACAAATCATTAGCAATTGGAAATAGATCAGTGAATTACAGACAGATCATTGTCAATTAGAAATGGATTCTAAATTACTCTGAATTTTTCCTGAAGATATCTTCTTAGATTATATGAGAAAGGAAATCAATCGTTTCCCTGGGCATATGATTTTTAGACATAATTACTGCTAAAATGACCAGGATAACTAATCTAACATGTTGATATTTGGTGATTCTGGAGAGACTCAAGGATTTAGAACAGTGACTGAAAGCCGTATATATCTTCTTGAAGTGCTTTAAGGCTTCCATAAGCATTAAACTCAATTCTAAAAATGCTGTCAACTTTAAAGAACAGTAAATGAATATTTAAAATTTTAGAACTAGTTAATAATCACTGCAAAGGAACTTCAAAGTACTGTTTTGCATATATATGTATATGCAAATATATATATATATCCCATGAAAGTCAAATTTACATAATACAAATTTAAGATTAATGTACAAAAGTCATCGGCATACCAAACAATTTTCTAGAAAAACAGAACAATAGAAAAGGAAAAGTTACACATGCCATTATTGTCAGGTCAGGCTTTCACAGACATTTCCATTAGTACATGTGTGATCTGAAAAGCAGGACAAAAGAATGATTCATAAAAGACTCAGACTCAGCCTTGGGACCCAGGACACAGAACTAGTGTGTTGACTTCTGAATGCCTCACTTCCCCAAAGCCTAAAAAACCCATTTGATGCATAGAAGGACTAGGCAAGCACAGAAAGTCCATGGCCTGGTCCTAGACATGGGAAACATTTGAATAGTGGAAGACATTATCTTCCTTGTTGCATTGATTTGAAAGTTTGTTGGAGGGAAGGCAGGAGAAAGCATTAGAAAGCCAATATTTGCCATGTGTGAGGTCATTCTGAAGGAGACCTGTGGTACTAGAACATTCTGTAGGTGTCATTGCAGTTCTGGGGTGTTGGAAATACACAGTTGCATCCGTTAAATAATGAATATGAAAACCATATGTCTGGAAAGAGCTGTCCAACACTGAAGTCTTTTGTGTTCTCTTGACCCATAGGGACAGCAACCAGCACTGTGCGGACATCAGTGCTGTCTTACTCCGACTACATCTCCAGGCCTGAGGACCACAGTAGTGTGGTCCGGCTTGACAAAGATGAACGTGAGAAAATGTGCCGTGTGGTAGTAATTGATGACTCATTATACGAAGAGGAAGAGACTTTCCAGGTCCTTTTGAGCATGCCCATGGGCGGGAGGATCGGTGACAAGTTTCCAGGAGCCAAGGTGACCATACTGACAGACAAGGATGACGGTGAGTTTTGATTATCTTACCTGCGGTGGCAACACCAGACATGGCTTTCTATACAGAAAAAATAGCAATCAGATACAATCACGGGGTGCGTGTTAATTCTCTGCCAGATTTTATAGTGACTAAGAGTCATCAATCAATCACCCCTCTTTGCTGATATAATGTTTCCGCAGCCAGTTTTCTCTCTAGGACCTCTTTACAGGGCCTTCTTTTCCTAGCTTTAATCCAAGCGTTTAAACCTGTTTTTCAAAGAAACCCATAAGAAGGGCTATCAAATGGATCACTGGGTGGGAAACAAATATATGGGAAGTTAAGTCTCAAGACAAGAGGAGTTGATATACTAGACCACCCTTCCCCAGGAAGCCCAGGAAAAGCAAACACCACCTGAAAAAGTTTGCATTTCCGTGTGAGGAGAGAAAGGGCAGGGATAGATTGCAAATGATCTTGTGACCCAAGCAAAGGGCGGAAGCAGACAGCATGCCCTCCCCTCCCATGGACTGTTTTCTGTGTCCTTCCCATTTTCCCCATGGCAGATCAAAGAGGGTGAGCCGTGTTGTTGGAGCAAGAGTTGCAGGAGAGTCAAAAGCCCAAATGATCCTAAAACTCAGGGAACTGAGAACAATCTGCCAAGAAAGGTTTTGGATAACTGAAGTGAAGAAGAGAGCATGAGACAAGGCCAGTCAGGGGTCCCCCCAACCTGTGTCCCCTGAAGTCCTTGTTTTCTCCTCTAACAGTCCTCTGAATTACAGAATGAGGCCTTTTTGTGATTGTTTGAAAGGTTTAAAAACACTGACCATAAATTCGGGAGTGACTTTTAACAAAAAGGCATAGAAGAAAAATCTCTCTGAAGTTTAGATAACATCTTTTATTTAAAAAAATAGTCCTGTAGTGCTTCATTTAACCATGTTCTGTATTTGTCCATTCTTAAATTTTTTAATTATGCAGATGGAGGGTGCGCTTGAGTGCAGGTCCCCAAAGAAGTCAGAAGTGGTGCTCAGGTTCCACCGGAGCTGTAGTTACAGATAGATATGAGCGGATATGAGCAGATATGAGCAGATAGATGAGCAACAATTGTAGGTGCTGTGAATTGAACTTGGATCCTCTGCAAAATCAAGATGCATCTTAACCGCTGAGCCATCTACTCAGCCATGTTCTATATTTAAACCAAGAATAGGGATTTTATTTCAAATGGAATCATTCTTAGAGAGGCAGTAGTATAAATGCCCAGAATAAACCTAAGAGTTTGCATCAAATTCCCATGTACCATCTGGCCAGCTCTTTTTCTTGCATTGTCTGCAATGGTTTAGATTGAGCAGGACTTAATTTAAAAACAGAGACTAATTGATGTCTACTTGAATCCAGCTTCTTGTTTCTGTTTTCAAAGTCTTTTGGTGTGGAATTCTATGCTATGCACATGGGAAAGACACAACGTAGAAGGGGAAAATTTCACATATGTGTCACTAAATCTTAACAAGAACCAAGAGTGATATTCTTCCCCCAGTTCCATGGGTGAGATAAAAATTTAGACGTATGAGGTGGCTATCTGGCTTGTGTTTACATGGCTAGTACACATGGGGAAATGGCATTAGGGTTCCCAATGTATGTGCCTTCCATGCACTGTTTTCTGGAAAATACCTTCTTATAGCGAGGCAAAAGAGCAGTTGCCAGAGTCCTACTGTAGAGTCTTTTGTAGAACATTTATTTTGTGAACCTTGGCACTGAAGGGTTAAGGTTTGAGGGCAAACATTGTGCCTCCTCAATAGCTCTGAAACCACAATCTCATTGATTTGCTAGCCTGCTTTCTCTGCCTGACTCTTCCCTTCCATCCCTGCATGGCCATCCTAATTCAGACTGGCAGCTTTCTTTATAGATTTTAGAAACTCTTTTATTAAGGCAAGCCCAGTTTCTAGTCCAGTGCTTTATTTTCAGTCTTCAGAAACTATTATGAAATTCCTTTGACCTACAAGGAAGGAATTATCCCTGGTTCCTGTAAGTCAGTAGAAGAACAAGGTACCATAAGGCTTTATTATTGCACCCCAGGGTTCAAATTCAGCTGACAATGTGGTATTCAGCTCAGCAAGAACTCACTTCAGCGTAGCTTAAATAATATACTTGCTAACTTTATCTTACAATTCTTTGGGGAAGGTTTCAGAGATTCTCAAATGATGATGCCTGGAAGCATGTACTTCACAACACTGTATTCAATGATCTGATGTTTCAACATTGTGTTATGACTCTTTCATTAGATGTCACCCCTTCTTAAAACTGATGACGCTGACCTGCAGCCACTGAGACCTGCACTTAGAGCCCCAGCTGACAGTTTTCATTCACTCACCGAAGTTTACCCTTTCTCTAGACTGTTCTTGATATCATGTTGTCTTTATCTTTTGCCATATGGGACCTTAATCTGGTGCTGAGTGAAAACACAAAAGCATGCACCCATCTCTCTCTCTATCTATCTACCTACCTACCTACCTATCTATATCTATTGTGTGTGTGTGTGTGTGTGTGTGTGTGTGTGTGTGTGTGTGTGTGTGTATACTTTGTTTTAAAGGAAAATACTTTAGTCACTGTGGGGTCCATGATTCTATACCAGAAAAAGAAGATGCAAGGAGTCGCAAGCAGATGTGATATTCTTTATGCACTCCGAGCCAGATTTTGAGAACATCTAGATAAGCAAACAACTAGAGTGAGATGCCACAATGGCCGTGCCTGTGCTATGGAAATGGGCACAACAGATGAGGCATTAAGTAACTGATTTTGGTTTTTGAGACAGGATCTCTCTGTGTAGCACTGGTTGTCCTGGAGCTCTGTGTAGACCAGGCTATCCTCAAACTCAGAAATCTGTCTGCTTCTGCTTCCCAAGTGCTGGGATTAAAGGCACGCACCACCATTGCCTAACTAGTTAACTGTTTCTGAATGAGAAAATAAATTGCTTTATAATTTTGTAACTCAGGGAACTCTGAATCTTCTGAAGCAAGATTGTCCGTCTGTGACAATATAAAATGACATTTTTGTGTTCATTGAGTGGAAGACAGAGATGAGGATGGTGGGGGCTTCTCTTATGGCCAAATCCCTGAAAATCTCCACTAGGACCAATAATCTCTCTGTACTAATGATGTTTAGCTATCAGGGTGTAGGGTGGGGAGCACAAGGGCTACAGAAATACATCTGTCTAAATCTGTACTGAATCACTAAGAAACAGCTAAACCTGTTATTTGAAAAGTCTGACACATTACAAATCAGTGATGTGTCTGAGGTTAGGAATATTCAGGCATCCTATGCGTTCTCCATCAGCATCTTCAGTGTTCTGTCCTTCGGCAAGTTACCATTAAACACTGCAGTATTGGTTCCTAACTGTCAGTCTTTGGAGTACATGAAGGGAACGCTGCTGCTGCTAATTCATTGTCTGCCTTTGTGTGACAACTGTCACGGGGCTTCACTCCAAAGTGGCTATCTACCTTCACAACCCTGGAAAAGTTACTGTGCCAGACAGAAAGTAGGGGCTTGTAAATAAATGGCTATCAAATGAGCCCTGTGGCAAATGAATCAACAGCTTAGGATATTAGAATCAAAAGCAGAAATGCTTTTGCAGAAGAAAAATTTTTACGCTAGAAAAAAATGCATAATGTGGATAAACTTGTTTGCATTTGTGCAAAACTGGAAGACCTGCTTGTCTCCTTTTTTCCCCCTCTCCTTCTTCTTTTTCTTTAATCTTAAACACAATTATTTACATTAGTATAAGATCCAATTAAGGGATACCAGCCTGTTGATGCAAGAAAGGGCCAGATTCAATTAAGGTAATAACTTGACAAACATATCCTGCATTAAGTATGCCTGAACTAAAACACCATTTAAAATAAAGAAATGGGTGTGGGGGACAAGTTTGTAATTGCTTAGACTATCCTTGAGTTGTTTCCATTACTACAATCACACTGGCACCATAAGTCAGTGAAAGCCAAAGTGTGTGGGCACAGGAGTGGTGGCTGAATGGTAGAACTGGAGAGGTTCCCTCCTCCATAGACAAGATGCTACACCAAAGTGAAATCAAATCAGAGAGTAAATGAGATACCTGGTCCTTTAAGAAAGTGTAAGGACTCAGTGAGTACTTGTTATGAAGCCCGTATCACTTGCTATGGACACTGAACCACTTGACACGGGTCAGTAACTTCCGCAACTTAAAATCTGTCTCTTCAGGGTGGGGCCGAATATATAAAAGGTTAAATGAGAACAATTTATAACGATATTTGAAATAGTAGAAAGGGAGAGTGAGAAAGCAGGTTGTGACTAAAACACAGTTACTTTGTGAGTCACAACTCGTAAAACCTTGAAAGATGAAATGGATTCAGGTAAACAGAGAACTAGGCTAATTATGGTTGGACTTCACAGCTAAATCAAAGGGAGTAATGGGTTACGGAACACTGAGGAACCCAGTTGACTGGGCTGCAAATGTTTTAAGAAAGCTATTGGTGGAGAACTACAGGCAAGAATGGCTGTTGAGAGGGGAGAATCAGTCTTCTCAAGCCAGAAGCCCCCTGTTAGGTTATTCAATCCAACCAGGTAGCCATAGACACATCTACATAACAGTAACACTAAATGGACCTAGTAGGCTATATTTATATATGCACATATATATATATATATATATATATATATATATCATATATATATATATATATATATATATATATATAACCTATGTATAACAATAATAACCAAATACAAAGTGAGATTTGAGAGATAGTCCAGGGAAAATATAGGAAGAAGTGGAAGGAAAAGAGAGGGGTCAAAATAATTTAAATATAGTACTCAGGTACAAAATAAAAATTAAATGCAAAAAAGGTTTTCTGCCCAGCTCTGCAGCCAGAGTCCTGCACTCTCTGTACATGCCGCTCCTGTCTAGCAGGTGGCTCTTGGCCTTCTGAGCAAGCCCCCCATTTGCTCCCCTGCTTGCTTTCCCTCATGTGAAGCATGCTGTCCCTGGGCTGGCTCAGCTTATAGCATTTTGTGGAGATTAGGCAACATGATCTTTAGGAAAGTACT